TTTACTATTACTGCTCAGTTAACCAAAACAAACATGTAAAATGCTATCAGCCTGCTGTCCAATGTCAAGCCATTGTGACTCAGCTCTGAGATAATAGAATTATACAATCTCAGAGAGCATAGCTGTCAAAATTCCAGAATAATTGTGCTGGAGATAATACTATGCTGTTCTCTCAGTCCTTCATGTAGTCTTCTTGAAAAAAAGAAAAAAAACAACAACTAAAGCCTTTATCTGTATCCTCAAGCACTTTTCATAATATAAACTTTCAGTTACATGGTTTTAAAATAATTTGTCTTAATACTGTTGCATCATCTAGCACAATCTCTGCTTTCATGGGCTCAACTGCCTTTGTAGGTACATTTGTCCAGCTTTTTTGTGTCTTTCTCATTGGCTTTTTGGTTTGACAAGATCTAACCAACTCTTTTTGCTGAAACTTATGAACTAACTTTACAAGTTTTATAGCAAGAACTGAATTAACCAATGTAAAATGTAAATAATGTATTGATATTTTCAAATAAGCCAGTTTGATTGGTTATTTTAAGAAAAGCCAAATATCAAAACATAAGACTTTTCCTGCATCTATAAAATAATATAGATGAAAATGCATAAAACATTTCACTCTGTTTAGATTTAGTGAGGAAAGAAAGAACAAACCAAGAATTAATAATTTGTTTTTTTCTCTGTTTCCCCAAAATAATCAATGATTTTACAGCAACAGAAACATTTTGTACCAACTCAAATAGGCAAGACCGTAATTCCTTTCCAATCTCCAAATATTCTCATTCTCTTCATGTAACTCTCTTGATGATGCACTGTCTAGACCTCTCCAAAGAAGTTTGGAATTTATTCTGTGGCTTTGAAAATGATTATTCAGGGCTCCTACACACTTCCATATGAAACTCACTGCCTTCAGAACATGTAAAAGTTAGTAACTGGTTACAAGAAAAATATTAATGCTGTAACTTTGAGCTTCTACTAACAGGAAATATTTTATATATGCCTCCATTTTATTTATGTGATTATATTGCATTGTAGTTCTTATCAGGTATGAAATCAAAATATCAATGAAATACTTTATATCTAAAAAAAATTCTGGCTATTTTTTTGGTTTTATGGAAGCATCAATAAAAGCAATTAGATTAAAGGATATATGCCCATTCCTGTTATAGTCTTAATAAGTATCCCGTGGGAATTTATCAAGACAAAAGTGAAGAACTGGTATTGTAGGCCCTTTGTCTTTTGATAGCTGGATAACATAAAAGCAGTCTCTCAAGATCCCAGATCTACACAATATGTCTGCAACCTAGATTATTGAGTCTACATGTAGCTTTTAAGAAAATCAAACTTGGAGACTTCAAAAAAATGTTCAGTTATTTGTCATCAATAACCTAAAACTGAGAGTTAAGCTTACATAGAATTGTAGTCATTTCCCATAAGTACTTGGCCTGAGTTTTACAAGACTGCTGCTTCTTCAGAATATATAAGTTGAACACAGAGACTGTACTGTAAAAGTGTATCCACAGTTAAGAGTCTTAATGGCAGAAAATACCACATTGATTTGCTTAAAATCTTAATTTTCAATTTCCTCAAAATCTATTTATTAATTTGTGGGTGATAAAAGAAAAGCAACCAGAAAGATTTTGTTTCACTGAATGATGCATAAACAGACAGAAATAGAACATTGAAGTGAACTTACTCTTTTATAGCATGAAATCTTCATTGTTTCTGTTCAGAAGAGAAGAATAAATTTAGTTATCAGCATATAGGGTAGATTTGCTAAGGTAAAATTAGGTATTCTGACTGCAACGTAAGGTTAGAATGTAAGAAAACAGCTAACAATAAAATATCAAAGACATATTTTTCTATATTTTCTTAATTGAAACTACAATTATTAAATCCTATTGATGAAAAGACATGAGGATCTGTATTACATGGCAATGATCCAAAGGAAGCTGTTAGGCTCACTTTTACTTAACTACAAAGGTAATTAAAGAGATTGAACATGATGCTGAATCATGAACTGGAGGAACATGGCCTTCTTCTCATTACGTATGAATCTTAGTCTCTTTGTCTGTGAAATGAGTCCTGTCAGACTCAAAGAACTATTCTAAAGAGGAGTTTCATTATTCCATAAGTAGTTCAGTTGGAATTGTGCTTGAAATTCTAGTGCATCTTATGAAAAAAGTGAAGATCTATTGAGTTAGTTTTATAGAAAGAAAATACACATGAAGTGCTGCTTAAGTGAGTTTTTGGGAAAAAATTAGCCAAGAACCACACAAAATGTTTGCAATAACTATACTACCTCGTAATTCTTTAGTTGGGCAGGGAGGTATAAATACTATAATTGAGTAAGTACTTGCATGAACAGGTAAACCATATTCAATAGAGCCACACAGGTCTTGTCTTTAACGATCCCTAATACACAAAAATAGCTCTCAAAAAGTGTGGATGGTACAGTCCCCATGAATGGATCAAAGTGGCATCATGGATACCAGTGATGTCATCCTACAGAAAGGGTACACATATTAACTTGTTGGGCTCAGTAGCAAATTTTAAAATTACTAATTATACAATGGAAAATTTCAAATAGTTGAGAGAATTTTTTGAGAGAGAGGGAGAGAGAGAGGGAGAGGGGGAAGGAGAGAGGGAGGGAGACAGAGAGGGAGAGGGACAGGGACAGGGAGGGGGCAGGGAGAGGGAGGGGGAGAGAGAGAGAAGAAGAGAGAGAGAGAGAGAGAGAGAGAGAGAGAGAGAGAGAGAGAGAGAGAGAGCATTCTTATGTTAGTATATAGCAAATTTTGGAGCTCCATGACGGAAAGTAGAACATAATGTCATAATGATATCAGAGATGTGCTTGGATAAATTCATAGTGGGCAAAAATAACATCCTACTTACTACAAATTTTCTAGAATTTTAAAGATTCAAGTAAAGAAGTTTTATCCATAGGATATTCCTACAGCAGTAGGTCAAAGAAAGCTTCTTAGGTCTTATAAAAATGAAGTAATAGAAATGTTGCTTTAATCATGGTAAAATGGACTTTTGTAGAACATGAATGCCTAGAGTTTTTTTTTTTACATTACAAAAGGAGAGCACTCACTATGTAGCGTTTTGTCAAATACATTGGAACATAGGAAACTTTCCTCTCATAATAGCTAGTGTTCAAGTACTCATTGTAGGGATTCCTAAATGCTATGATATTTAGAACCCGTAGACATCACCTGTCTGCAATGGCCAAGGAAATGTTATTTACAAAGTAACCCATGGAGCAATTTGGTTGTCTAGGCCAATGTCCTTGTATTCTATAAATGAATCCTGGTTTACTGAAATCTGATGCCTGAGTTCCATACTTTCCTGAAAAACTGATAGTAATTAAATATCTGTCTAATTAAGGCTACAGAAACCATGGAAGGAACAGTTAGCCAAGGTATTTATTTAAAGTTTATACAAATACATTTTAAGAGGAGGTGAGATTAATGTCTCCAATGAGTCAATGAACAGTTGTGTGTTTGACTTTTCACTGCAGATGGAATGCTTTGTGCTTATAGCCTTTCCCTTGGCCACTGAATGATCATTATTAAATTCTAGGCATTTCCTTTTGTACTAAGAGATGCAAAGATGTATAAAACATGGTTTATGGTGTGTGGAGATTATACTCCACACACTTCCATTTCAAAGAAGAATTGATACCATAGGAGAACAGAGGACAGATTAGGGAAGTCACTGATAATTTTCCATTACAAAGCTATATTACAAATATTACTAGATCTTGCAAGCAGTTGTTCTTTTTTCAAGTTAAAAAGTAATTTTTTATGTGGATATGAGTTGCTCTTTGTTATTTTACGAACACATAGCTTACAGGTAACAGTTTGATATGTTCAGTTTAAGCTATTCTATTAAGACTGCCCCTAACTTTAGAAGTAACTATTTTTAGGATGGAGATTACATTTGCTCCAAATATGTTCTATTGATTATAATTGGCCCTGAATATTAAGCATCTGTAGATGACAAGTTAGGATACATTAAAATATTTCCCTTCAGTTAGATCATGTCTCTTGAAGACTGAAAGTGCTATGATACACAGAACAGCGAATTTATCTTTTGATATTTATATGAGGCCTTATAATTGACAGGAATAAATTCACAGAAATAGATTCAGAGGCTGTTGATTATCAAAAGTCATCAAAATAATTCTTATATCCCTTATGGACTGAAAAGCTTTGATCCATTATCAGATTCCAGTTCTAAATTTTTGTCATAGAATTTAGAATTTAGAATCAAAGAGCATAGTTGATGTCATAGAAAATTTAATTCTCATACAATAGAAATTTCAACTTTATAGGGAACATATATGTTAAAAATGGGAATATATGTCCTATTTTATGTTTAAGTAAATGAGCATCCTTTCTTCTTTGCAAAAATACTTTTTCATTCCAAACACATATTTTAATAACACAAATGACAGGAATGTGAAAAAAAATACTTTTACCAATTGTGGAAGTTGAAACACCTGGTTTTTAATACATTATTCCTCTAATTTTAATTTAAAAAGAAATAATTGCTAACATTAATATGATGATTCATTCATTCAACAAATACTTGAGAGCCTACTGTATGATAGGGGCTAGTAATGAAATGGAGAAAAATCAAAAAGCAAAACAAAACAGACATCACCCTGATCCTTATTGGTGTTCACTTATGAATGGTGAGATGTGGGAGATCTTGTACAGAATGTTTAAAATGATAAAGTAAGGGTGGGATGAAGGAGCTTAAACAGAGGCTGTAAAGGTGAGACTACTACTAGTACTGAGTCAGTAAAATTAAAAAAAGAAAAAGGAAAAAAATTCTGATGTTGGGAGCCTGTCTTATTTTTGGTCAAAACAAAATTTGCCTAATCATGTACCAAAAATGGCCCATACATCTGAAGTAGTCTCATGTGCTAATTAATTTTCTCTGTGGTTACCACCCCAAGTTTACATGCATTTTTGTTTGATTCCCTCTAGTATATGACTGCTGCTGCTCCTATGCAAGGGACCTACATTCCCCAGTACACGCCTGTGCCTCCAACAGCTGTTTCTATCGAAGTAAGTCCATCGCTGCCTTGTAGAAGGAGACCAGGGAAATGAATCTCAATCACATGTACTGTGGTTCCCTACAGCCCAAGGAAGTCTTATGTCTAAACTGTGTGCTCCGATGAAATTTGTAGTCACCAGTTCAGGGTATGAACACATGTGTGTTTACCTGTGATGCCTGTTTTGCTTCTGCATGAAATGAACTAACCTGACACAGAGGTATGAAGGAAGGATATTTTGCACATCTAAAATCCAGAGAACAAGTCATTACTCTATCAAGTGATTGCCACAATACTCACAAATGGGGAAGAAAGGCAATTTGCAGCTTTAGGAATTAGCTAAATCTCATTGTCTTCTTCCTTGAAGAGAGATTCTTCACCAGCCTCATTGGAACACCCTGGAAAAATTTTAAAATACAAACTGTAAGATCCTACTCAGATATGTCTTAATTTCAATTTTAAGATGATTTCTGAGTCACACAATTTTAAGATGATCTCTGAGTCACAGAAGTGTGCTGAAATGTGAGACATACTATATTAGATCCCCATACTCAAACTTTCTCACATCTTACAATTTTTGGGGGAACTTTAAGAAATACACAGCCCTAAGTTCCATCCTCAGACATTCTTGTTGATTTATCTGGAGAATGCACTAAATATACAGCTTTTTAAAATATTTCAGGTGGTTCTCTTATATTCTAAAGATTAAAAATCACTACTCTGGGAAATAGTGCAACTCTGTGGCACAGTGCCTACCCACTGTTCATGAGGCCCTAGGTCCAATCCCTTTTACCACAAAATAAAGACAAACACACAACAACGGCAAAAAGTCTGCTCTACTAAATGAGGCTTCACCAATTTATACCTTTATATAGACAGGGAAGAAACCGATGCATCGCTCTTATCAGCATAGGCATGGTGGTAACTGTTCCATCTCATTCTTAAAGACAGCTCTGCCCATTTCCTCCTCTGACCCCATTTTACCGGACAGAACCACAAATGACATAGAAAATAAGAAATATAGAGCTATACAGGCAGTGCTAAGCATTCACATGTGAGTTTTCTTCTCTGGTTCTACACAGTGCCTTTTATTGCTCCTCTGTCCCTTTTCCCAAGGCACATGCATGTTAGGGTCACAGTACTTCTTTTCTCACCAACTGAAAATCTTGGGGAATTGATCCTTTTTTTGTTCCATAATTTGTCCAGCATGTATTGTATTTGCACTGCTGCACACAAAAATCCACCTATGAAGAGTCTGACAGAAACTTTGACTGATTAAATTAAATCTTTCCAAGTTTGTTTTTGTGTAGAATTACTTGCTTATGTAAAGGTGTATAAATCTCAGATGTTTAACAAGATACTACTGTGTAGCTTAGAAAACCAAGGATATGAAATTTTTAATCCTTTTGTGTGTTCTAGATACATGGATATCAAAAAATGTGATACATTAACATGTCATTAGATCTTGAGAATTTCAAAATATTGTGATTAAATTACATATTCTTGGTTATGTTTATCTATTAAAAGCCACCTATATGCTGAGAAGGTAGTAATCTGGACTTTCCAGGCACTCTAAGGATAACTTTCCACCATATAATTGCATTTCTGTATCTCTACACAAAATCACGTGCTTATCTAAAGAACTAGAGCATTTTAATGATTATAAAATAATGAAATCTATTTGACAATGTGCCTTATTGGAAACAGTCCACTTGCAGTCAAATGCAGAGTGTGCAAAGAATAATTTCACTGGAAATATATAAATATATTTTGGTATATGCCATGAATTTAGGCTTATAAGGAAAAAACACTGATTCATTGTGTGTGCCGAAACAGCAATCACTCACAGAAATAAATGCAGCTAGGATGCTCAGAAAAACACACCACAATAAACAATCCCTTAAGAAAGAAATCAATGGATGAGTAGAGGGACATTTTGCAGATTCTAAGAAGGAACTTCAGGGAATTTTAAGAAACGGAAATGATCAAGAATGTTTGCACACAGCCTCACTGCAGACATCCAACACTGTTGCCTCCTTGAGTCTATTTATAATCAGACCCAGTCACCTGTGGCTCCCTCAGGGTCAAACGCATGCCCCTGGTGAGGACAATGCCAGAAATCTGTCCTTGCAGGCATCTGTGAGAAACTAAGTATAGGAGACAGGTGGGGGGGAAAAAGGTAAAACAAAATTAAGGACAATGTATTTTCTCCGCTTTTTCTTTCTTTTATTTTTTTAATTTTATATAATTGGGGTTTTTATTTGTTTGTTTGTTTGGCAGTACAGGGGATTGAACTCAGGACCTTGCACTTGCCAGGCAGGCACTTAAGCCACTGAGCTATCTCCCTGGCCCTTCCCCACTTCTTTTGAGGCCACTAAATGAATTCCAATTCATGTCTTAGAAAACAGTGCAAAGCAAAATAAATCAGATTATTGAAAGGAAAACTCACTCAATATCACCCTTAATGAAGACTTCTAACCTTTGCTGTTGATTTCTATGAAGGCCAGAGTCCACTGGATTGCTAAAATATTAAAGTCATGGTACAGCGAACTACTTCAGGAGCTTATTTAAATATACCAGAATTTATGGAAATCAAATGAATACTTTACTAAAAATGTTATTTAGTATGATTTATGCAACTACTATTTAGAAGGACCAAATATAAGCAAAATGATTTTCTGATTTCTTGTGTACTCAAAGGCTTTGGATAGTGCAGCTTATTGACATCAAATCAAGACAAACTTCTCGACTCACATTAAGACATGCACCAATGTTTTCTTTAAAGTACAGATTGAGACTTCTTAAAGCTGACAGCATCCGTTCTCAGACCAAATACAGGGGCATTTACCATCCATCTAGCCAAAGACCCTGTGCTTAAAGCAAACAAGGCATTGTGTACCTATTTGCCTCCCTAGGGTGTTGTTGCTGACACCTCTCCCCAGACAGTGGCACCTTCATCGCAGGACACCAGTGGTCAGCAGCAACAGATAGCAGTGGACACGTCCAACGAGCACGCACCTGCATATTCTTACCAACAGTCTAAGTAAGTCTGGGTTATGCTAACCTTGTTTCCTTCAAAATCAAGCAATTCAAAATTATTCTTTCAAGGGGTACCTGTTACTTTATGTTGCAAACAAACTACCCCAAAGTTAGTGACAAGTTATTTAGCTCGTAATTATGTGGCTGGTTTGGGCTGGCTTCAGAAGGGCGTTTCATATGACCTTGGGTGAACTTAAAGCATACGGCCCTGCTCCAGGAAAGCAGCTGGCTGCCAGGCAGGAGACAAGAGTGATTGAGTTGCATGTTTCTGCTTCCCCAGCAAGTGAATTTGTAGGGGTCAGCCTAGAACTGTAAGAGCAAACTCAAAGACAGCAAGCCTTTGTCAGGTCTTGCCACTCCTCAGCTATTGCCTCATTAGCCAAAGTAATTGGAGGTCTCTAAAGAGGTACATTATAGTCATTTTTACAAAAAAATAATCTATCATATAGTCTTGGAAAATTATAATATCCTCTTCTCACAGTGTAGGGTGAAGCTGCATTTGTTCTCACGCTCTTAACTGTTAAATGAAGCTAGTGATACATGATTTGCAAAGCTCCTTTGAACGTCAATGTTTGTGAAAAAGAATATTGTATATATTCTTTATATATATAAAATAATAAAACAATAGATTCTTATTCAGAAATTAAATGGCAAAATGAAGTAGCCAGTTACTGATGATTCTTAAATCATTCATAAAGGAAAATATATTTGATTTTTTATTCAGAAAATACATAGGCTCATATGTGAGATCTTTCTGTTGATGCCAATGGATTTAGCAACAAAAAGTCTATATACAGAGGCCTTGGCATGCAAGGTACTCCACATTATAGATAAGTCACACACTTGAAGAACAACAACTTCCCAGATTGTCTTTCTGAAGAATGTTGCTCCATTTCTTTGTCATCATTTTGCTTGTTAGAGAAAAACATTATTGAGACACTCGTCAAAAAGAACAAAGCAGGGGTCAGGTAGATGGCTCAGTGGAATAAGTACTTCCCAGGCAAGCACAAGGGCCTGAGTTCAATTCCCGGAAAAAAAAAAGGGGGGATTTTATTCCAGATAATTTCAATAAGTGTTGAGATTATCACAATAGGAGAGTGAGATTGGGCTCAACTCAGAATATAGCAAAGACAGCTGGAGATAGTTAGTCAATCAGAACACAGGATCCATAAATGAGGAGTACCAAGAAAAAACATCAGGGTAGGGAAAATATTATAAACTGGCTTAAGAAGATTCTTACTGAAAGCATATCAAGAAGTGATAAATAAAACATGAGAGATGAAGAAAATGATCATATGTGGAGAATGAATAAATAGCTAGGGTTGGGAATTTTGTCTCAATTAACCTTAGTAAAACTAAACTATGTAGACCAAGCAAGGATGGGGCAAGGTCTAGGCAGAGTCAAGAGGGAGCTGAGAAGAACTGGACTGAAATTTGGGCACAGAGAGCCTCTTTGTCAATCTGCCTTCCATACACATTAAGAGATTTGCTTATTGTTGAATTAATCAAGAGTGTGCAGTTTTAGGGCCAGCCAAATAGCTCAGCAGGTTAAAGCACCTGCAAGCAGGTGCAGGGGCCAGGGTTTCGATCCCCAGGCCTGGAGTGCCGGCCCCGGCCCTGGGGCACTGAGACAGCAATTGAGACTTCATGTGGTGGCATGTACCTGTAATCCCAGCTCTTGGGAGGCTGTAAACAGGTGGATCACTATGAGTCCAACCTAGTAGTGAGACCCTGAACACCCTGTAGACCCTTCCCTCAAATACAAAAAATAAAAGAGTGCAGTTTTATTTTTAAATTCAGTTGTAAAAATTAAATATGCTCAGAACACCAGATAATCAAGCAAATATAAAGTTTAACTATTGCTATCAATATGCCTTTTGACAAATATCATTACTGAGGAAAGCAGTCTGACGTCATTGTTCCAATTGATTGATGTCCAGGATGAGTCAGGATGAATCACCACCATGAACAATGTGGTAGTCTCTAACTCTCTCGCCCAGATATATTGGGATTTTTTTTCACCTGGTTAGTGGGTTATGTACACGGGAAAGTGTCACATATGTCCTATGGGAAAGCAGAGAAAGAAACACTGTCAGGGAAAAGGAGACGTTATGTGTGCTGATTGATTTTATATGTCATTTTGATTGGGCATCATTCTGGGTGTGTCCATAAGGTGAATAGAGATGAGATCAAAATTTGAATCAGAGACAAAGTAAAGCACACCGTCCTCCTTATTGTGGGTGATGTCATCCACTGAGGTAGTGTGAACAGAAAGATGGATCCTCCCGGGAGTAAAAGGGAAGTTCTTCTGCACAAATCCTTGAGCTGCAGCACTGGTCTCTATCTATCTTGGGATTTGAGTGAAACATTTAAATTAACATGGATTTTAAGGGCAGGCAATTGTTCCATCAGCTCTCCTGGTTTTCGTCTGTCAGAGTCAGCCTGCAGCTATACCATTGGGGAAAGTAGTAGATTGCCATGGAAAGGCACACTCAGATTCTACCATCAGGTGCCATATCGAAGTGCTTGGACAGCATCTCCTTTTTTCTATATTTGTTCTTCCAGCTGAGGAAATACAACAAATTAGGAAGCAATGGAAGTCAACAATGTATTACTGCTCTGGTTAAGGCAGGAAAGACTAGAGTTAGGTGTGATCTGGGGTTAGGACGGTATGGTGGACTATAGATTGAAAATCAGGGCTGACCAGATAGCTCAGCAGACTAAAGCACCTACTTTGGCAGAGTTCTGTGGCCAGGATTTGATACCTGGCCTGTTGTGCCATCCCCACCCCTGGGGCTCACTGAGACAGCGACTGGGACTGGGCATGGCGGCGTGTGCCTGTAATCCCAGCACCTGGGAGACTGAAAACTGGAGGATCACTATGAGTCCAATAAACAAAGTGAGACCCTGTACACCCTGTCCTAAATTCATAAAAAAATAAGAAAATCAGAAAAGTCTCCCCAGTCCCAGAGAAATCAAGGGAGTCGTGAATAACAAGTTCAGAGGCAGATAAGAGTCAGGAGGGTCTGGTTGTAGAGATGGACATGAAATTGAATTATCCGTAAAATGAATCAATTTCAAGATTTTTCTTGAAATATTTGAGGAAGTCTGAGTCTCACAACATCCAACTTTCACGGCTTAAATGTGTTCAAAATTATGGTTATACCACATTTGCATTGAGTTGTGCAACACAATGATGGATGACCCTTAAGTTTCACAGGATAATAAATATCCAGAATGAAATCATCCATCCCATGTCCTAATGGTGGCAAAATGATGAAGAGGATTTCCTTGCTTGAGGGAAGTCTTTGCACCATGAAGGAACATATGTTACAGGACGATCCTGGGTCATATTTCTCACTGCAACAGCCAGAGAGAAAAGCACCTTGGAAAATGGCACATTTCAAAAGCGTGTCAAGGGAACGCCACGTGCATTGCTTTGTGGAAATTCCTTTAAACTGACTTACTTTTTTGTGTATCCTTAGAGTACCTTTCCGAAATGCAAAACGTGTTAGGAGTCTTTGACTTCAAACAATAAAATCTCAAATGTAAAAGCAACTGTACTAAGATAAACTCTTTTAAAGATGAAAATAACTCCTAAAATCATATATATATATATATATATATATATATATATATATATATATATATATATGAAAGAAGTAACTAATGGGACTATCAATTTTATCATTTTCATCTGAGGAAATCTAAAATGTAAGATTCTTCAAAAATGTTGAAGAGGGGCCTGGGTGATGGCTCAGTAGAATAAGTGCTTCCTTGGCAAGTGCAAGAGCCTGAGTTTAATCCCAAATTTAAAAAAAAAAAAAGTTGAGGAAGGCACTGGGAATTGAATGAAATGTTCACATTATACACACAGGGCTCTTTTTCATCAGTAACCTGCACAGAGAAAATTATGCGGGATTTAAGATCCCTCATATGGGGCTGGGGAGATGGCTCAGTGGAATAAGTGCTTCCCTGACAAGCGCAAGGGCCTGAGTTCAATCCCTGGTTCCAGGAAAAAAAAAAAAAGATCCCTCATAATGACAATTGTCAGGCAAGCATTCCTTAAACAGTAGGCATATAACAACTTATACAGACTAATAAATCTCCCTGCTCTGCTTTTTAAAGTTATCTGGTCATGCCCATCTTGAAAAACTCACTCTGATTCCATTTGGCCATTTTCTAACTGTGGGACAATATTGTCCTTGAAGGGACCACCAGAAATCCACTTCATGACAGTTTTGTTTTAAGATCAAGCCTCAAGCAAAATCCTAAAATTAGTTCTAGTCTACTATTTATTTCCCTAAATTCCTTTTATATTCCTTCTTGGAAAGTATCTCTAATAATGTAGCCAATCCACATTATCTCAAACAAGCCAGATTTCACAAATAGCAGCTCATTTCCAACATCATTATGCTAATTAACATGCTACTACTTTCATCAGGCAACCCATTTCTAAAAATCATTATGCTAATTGAGATATGGATAGCTTAAAGTACTTTGCACAAACCTCTGGCCTTTCTCATTAAATGCCAGCTAACCTCCTGTGGGTGTGAAATTCTGATGAGGGCAAGTTCCTGCCCCTGAAAAGTAGCTTGTATCATCCCATAAACCTTAAACACCAAAGTGTCTACACTAAAATAGTAAGTGTATGGCAGTCATCACAGCCAAAGATTGCAGGAAAGCTTGTGCAATGCAGACCATGGGCCTATGAATAAAGAGAATGCGTTCAGTATCTATCAGTAAATATTTATTATTCCAAATTCTACTTTTTCAGCTAAAACACTGGACTTTGGATTTGTATTCATGGAAGTTTTTCCATTATGAGGAGAAGCCACTCATGTAAAAGGGACTCAGATCTTATCTCAGAAAGGGGAAATGAAGGCTGTAGCTTTTCATGGAAATTTTATGGAAATTCATTTCCCATTCAAATGACCTGCTTTTCTTTGCGTCATGCAGGAAGCCTTAAACATGACTAGGATCTAAAGAGAAAGTCTCAAAGTTGAAATTTAATCAGCACAACTGTTCTGATTCTAGCGTTGTGCCTTTAGTTATCTTTCACTACTTTGTAGCCTAATTTTCCTCTCTTTTAAAGTGACAATTAGTTCATTGTTCTGTAAAGATATGAATGAGGACCCTAACACGGAGGAAAGATTGGCCACCCGACACAGGAGTAAGAGTCAGCAAGTTTCTGCAGCACTTCTCTGCGCTGGTATACTGGAAAACTGCAGTGAAAAGTAAAAGGAGTGCTTGCCTTAATTCTAGTTCTCTTTAGAGTTGTCAAAATACAGTAAAATATGCTCCCCAAAATACTTGAAATGTACTTCTTCACAGAGGAAAGTGTGTGCTGGCTTCCTCCTGTGGAGTTTCAAGATTCTGAAAACTAAATAATTACAGAAATGCAATAATATATTGATTATCTATTAGTTATTTTGATATCAATATAAAATGTTTTCTAATTCCCCCAAGTTTCACTTTCACATTGCTATTTTCACTGTGCCATCTCCTTATCTTTCATTCAGCGAATTCAGCAGTGGAATTACAGAATGCAGCTTTTCCACACACTAGACAATAAAATATTTCTTTCACATAACATCACATGAAGTCAGTCAGTAAGAGATTACCATGGGAAACATGGACTCATTAGATGATTTCTTAAAAAATAGATTTCTGAGATTATTTCCCAACCTACTCATTCTGCTGCTATTGAAAAAAGAATTCAAAATAACTATATTCCTAAATTCGGTCAAATTATCAGTATACAAATATTTACTCTGACATTAAAAGATCATTGTGATACCATTGGAATTGAAATTTCTCTTTCTGCTTCAAGTCTTGTCAGGAGAGCTGAACTTCTGCAAACACGCAATTCCTTTGTCAGCATACTGATGATGTGTGAAAATTGTACTCCTGAGTCCCCTGCATTCTATGTGCAGGTGCTTTACAATTTTCCAAATGATTGTAATACTTAGCTCTTTCACATAAATTAAGTTTAAACATGTATTCTTCTTACTAATGAGTGTAGTTGCAGCCGTTTAGAATTGTGTTTTCATGAATTTCAGTGCAATCTCTAATCACTACGTAAATGTGCACAACACACTTTATTTAGTACAGATGAGGAAGATGGAAGTAAATTTTAGTTGTATTAAATAGTGACACTTTTACCCTCTAAACTCTAGTTAGGAATGATGAATATCTGAAGTAGAGTCATTTGCTTTCAGACACCACAGAGGCTTATTTGAAGACAAAAAGAAAAAAAAAAAAAGGAACAGGATTACTAGAAACAGTTTCATAGAGTTATAAACCTAAAAGTAACCTTAGCCTAACTCAAATATTTATGGTTCAATTATCAATGCCCATTAAGGACCTGAGCGGAAAGGGTCTTTTATTGGATGGTTTTTCATTGAGTGAAGAAACCATAATGCTTTAGACATTTTCTGTTTAATGAACAATAGAAAAATGGAAATGGCAACAAAAGTAGACCAAGGCTTTGTCTTCATAGCAAGATAGAATATAGAAATAAATAGAGGAAACTAAAATTTGCAAAGGTAGAGAAAGAGAACTAAAATATAGTTTCTTTTTCTTAATATTACTACTACTACAGCTGGCAGAATAGCTAAACAGATTTAAGTGCCTGCAAGCAGGCTCAGGGGCCAGGGATTCAAACCCCTGACCTGCGGTTCCAGCCCTGCCCCCAGGGCACACTGAGATGACAATTGAAACTGGACGTGGGGGTGCTAGCCTGTAATCTCAACTCTTGGGAGGCTGTAAACAGGTGGATCACTATGAGTCCGATCTAGTAGAGAGACCCTGAACACCCTGGAGACCCTTCCCTAAAATTTAAAAAAAAAAAAAAATACTACTACTACTTTCATTGTTGCTGTTATGAAAATTGTAATTTCCTTCCTTCTTAGAAGAAATCCAACTTTTTCATGCAACTGAGAAGGAAAAAATAAACACATTATTTTAGGAACTTTAAATTATTTATAAATGGTTCAAATAGTCTGTCAACTTTTTGACCTCTGTGTACGATTCTAGGAGCAAATGCTTTAGAGTCCTAATAACAACTCTGACTTATGATGACTTTCACAAATTGGGAAAGAGAGACCTTTCTGGGCCATTGCTTTGTAAATACAATACAGTTGAAACCTTTCTGAAAGCCTTTTGTGAATCTGAATAAGCCCAACACACTCGCTGAGCACAGAGGCAGGCCTGCAGGGACCTCAGGGATCTGGGGGCAGACCTTTCCCTGAAGTTGAGGCCCCTACCTCAGCCCCTGCTGTTGTAGCTTTTATTTTTTAATTAGTTAATTAATTAATTTGTGATGATACCAGGTATCAAACTCAGGACCTTGTGCTTGGCAGGCAATCATTTATTCCACTGAACTATCTCCCTGGCCCAATTATTTTTTCTTACCGCTTTATTTACTAAATTAAACAACTGGGTGCCAGAAGAATCTGCTGAGATTTTCTCAGTCATTCTGTACCCTGAGGGAAGAGGCCTTCATTTTAATGTGACCTACAGACAGTTTCCTCCTTGTACAACATAAACTCATTTGACAGAGTTCTACCTTTGAACAAAGGAGCTAAGTGTAAAGTTCAATCCCCTAGAACCTTAATCTTGTGATAGAGAGCTACAAGTGCCTCTAGCTAAGAATTCAACATCTGGATGAAAGCAAACAGGAAAGAGCAATTGTCTTATGTTTTGGACCAATGAAGTTTATGTGATTCTATTTGATATTCAGTCATTACGGTGCTTACTGGGGAATCACATGTTGATTGAGTGATGAGTCCCTTGGTAGTTCTGAAAATATATTCTTAATCTCTGGGAGAGATATAACATAAAGCCTGCATTAAAAATTAGATTCTATGCTCAGAAAATATCTGTTCATTTTTATTGATATAATAAAATAACTGAATCTGGATAATGTATGAAGTTTATGTAACTCACAGGATTGGGGGCTGAAAGTCCTATCTTAGGCAGCTCCCTCTGTTTAGCCACTGGTAAAGGATTCTTTGGCAGATGATGCGGTAGGATCCACTCTTGGAGGGCTCAGATAATGAGACAGAAAGCAGAGATTTTGGGGAGGGGAGAGTCAGGCTTGTTCTTTCCAAACAATTCATTCTGAAAACTAGTCCTGGATCCTATGAGATCTATCTTATTTCCTCCCAAAGACAGTGTCCACCCTGACCTTCCTCTAGGGACTGTCTCTAAATACACACCTTCTACATTGCCGTACAGGAGACCAGGCTTCCAAAATAGGATCTCCGGGGAGCATACTGAAGCCATGCCCACACTACAGATGGGTCTCTGAGTGTATGTGGGGTAAACCTGTGATATTTATTGCTTTTGGACAAAAAGAGACTGTTAGACTACTAACTTTAAATTTTAACAAGGTCAAATGCTCTAGCTTAAATGTATTTGCGAAAGTGGCATTTGACAATATCGTAGGCTAAATATGCTTTTATAATTAAAAATACTTTTACAATTTGTTTCATGTATGTACTACAGTGAAGACCTCACTACATTTTAGAGAGATCTCACAGAAAAGAACCCAAAAGACAATTTCAATGCCATAATGTGATGACCACTCTTATTCCATTGTTTTTGCAGACCATAAACAGAACAGGAGAATGTCCGTCTGAAATTTTGCCTTGAATGAAGAAACTTCGCTGAAGGAGAAGTTAGTTGGCTTCCAGTTTGCACAGGCATCAATGGAAGGCTTTTTTTTTTTTAATTTTATATTTTTACTCAGTGAAACAAAGTTTTTACGTGCTGTGCAAATGGTTCCTTCATGTGGTCTGACAGTTTATTTTTGCCACCTTTTTCTTTTTTACTTAAAGGAAAAGAAATCCCAGAAAGGGGGTGGGCGGGGGAGGGTTACAAGTTGACGTTATATCTGGAAGAGCATTTGAATGCAAACTTTACCTGAAAGTATAGATACCTTTTCTTTATTTTATTCTTTTTTTTTAAATTGAAAACCTGATGTCAAGAGATGGGCAATCCAAAATGGAAGCAAGTGAGCTTCTTCAGTAATTAAGCTACTTTTACTTTTCCCCTTCCTGTTTAAACCTAGTGGGTTATTGTTTCTTATTTTATTTTATTTTTTTCTTAGAAATGTTTAGGTAAAGTTTATCTCAAATCTTAATTGCCTTAATTTTAAGGACGTCAAAGGCTCTCAAGGCAAGCTGTCAACGTCTTGTTAAAAAAAGTAATTCAAGAAAGGATTGAAATATTGTGCCTGCTTTCACCGGCACAGAAGTTTAAGACTATGAGTTTTTAGGGTGAAAAAAAACTGTACAGTTTAAAAGAAAATGTTTTTCTTCATTTGAAGAAAATTTGTTGATAAAAGAAACCATGGCAACTGCAAGAATTGGGAAATGCTGGGACTTTTCATGAACTTTGTCTTAAGTGTTGACACAAATCATTCTAGAAAGCTAAAACATTTTATGGTAAAGTTATTAATGTTGGTTTAAAAACAACTGCATTAGAAATAATGCGTGTTTGGGGGCAGAATGCAGATTTTTTTATTTACAAAGCGTGATTGCTAGCAAAAGCATTAGTGCTTTTTATCTGCAGTCTTTTTTATGAGCTTTACAAAGTTTCTAGTCGGCTTTGCTTGTCACATTGCAAAACTTAGCTAAGAGCATTAAAAACAAAACAAAAAACATAAGTAGATAGGAGCTTATGGTCAAAAAGTGCAAAAAAATCAAAAAACAAAAACAAAAACAAAAAAAGCAATAGATAGAGAAATTGTTGACAATTTCTGTAGTCTTTCCTAGTTGTGATCAAATTCAGCCTATAGATGGCCTATTTTATACCAAAGATGAAGTGACACCCTATTACAGTCCAGAAGATAGAGGTTTTCTTTTCTTTCTTTTCTTTTCTTTAAAATTTTATTTGACCTACAATGGCCGGACCAGTTCTTACTTTGTTGTTTGTTTAAATTACCTTCCACTGGTATTTTACATACTGCATTTTTTTTTAAATGTACATTTGTTTATAATAGAAGCTTGCACCGGCTGTGTTCAGCTGTCCCAGGATGAAGAGTTCTGGAAACCAATCAATAGAGCCAAGAGGCTTTTAATTTTGTGAGCTTTTCTGATTCCTTGCTAGCTCTCTTCACTGCGACACCTGTGTTGATGGCCACCAATAAGCCAAGAGACATGTGTAAGAGGGTGGACTTGCTTTCTGTGGGTTCGGAACTAAAGATACTTCCTGAATATGGCCTGAAAGGTCTCTGAAATGCCCTGTCAGAAAAATGTCGTGAAACTGTGTGAAATGGTGAATGTTCGCCTGCAAAGGTCTCATGGTATTTGTAACAATCGTCTTCCTTCTAAATTCCAATACCTCCTGGTTTTGTCTTTTCCCAGCGAACTTGCTGTCATCCACATGAATGGCCACCTTGACATTGTAGTTGGGAAGGAGTTGTTTTCTTTTTATCTCTCTTCATGGTATATTCATACCTTGGTTTTGCCTAAAAGAAAGAAAACATACTTTTTTAATTTCATTTTAAGGTTCTGATGCAAGAAATACCAGTAATACTGAGGATTTTCTTAGTGGGATTTAGGGAAACTCTTAAAATGCTGGCTGACAATCAAGAAATTGTATGATTTATATCAATAAGTACCAAAACAACTAGATTTGATCAGTCATTAAAGCCAAAGGAGATATTTACATATAGAATGATGCAAAATTATACCTAAAATTATTAAATTGACTTACCTAGAAAATGTCTTCACATTGTTGATTAAGTCAACATTAAATCTATACAGTTTAACCTGAAATTGAAAAAAAGAAAAAAGAAATGGATTTTGTTAATTGAACTTTTCACTAGAGTGCATTTTGGTTAAAGCCTTTGAATCACAAGAATGAAACTCTTCACAAACTAAGTAAATACAGGAACCTGACTTTGTCCAGAAGAAAGAGGGAAATATATGAGTGCACTATGAAAGAACACAGGGTAGACTTTTAAAAACTAAAACATATAAAAGACAAATCTTGTTTGGTTGGTATGAATAAATAGATGAATAAGGAGTCTGACTCATATGAAATTGCCAAAATGCCACTATTTAAACAGGTCCTGGTTTTCTTCACTTGATCTTAGCCCAAAGGCTGATCGATCCTGGTTCTCTTTTCTGCAAGCCCACTGTGGAAGCTCAAACCCAGAGTGACTATACACCTTTGGGAGTCTAACCACTGGCAAATGATATCATCAAAATATGTCCCATGCTACACAGAAATTCAGCTGATCACACCCATCCTAATGTTTTTCGTGCATTAGAATTCTGAATTTACACATTCTACCACTGTATCCTTCAGCATCCCATGCATTGTAGAGATGGTGTTATCTTGTAAGGTGAGCTCCTTATATTACAGGAGGTACAAAAACTATGCATGGGACCTACATTTTCTGTTTCTCTTTTCCATACTCTGAATTCTTTGTGTAGGTAAAGATTATCCTGGGCATATTTCATTTGAATACAAAACCAATGTACGTTCTTTTATTTCTTTAAAAAAATTATCAAAAATACATTTTAATGTGATTCAAAGAAAATCTTATTTACACAATCAGCAATGAGGGTAAGCAATAGCTACATCTGACTGATAAATGTACCTAGGTAACTTCTTGTTTCTATTCAAAACTGCTGCTTTATTTATACATTCAGATACTTCTTTTCAACTATGAAGTTTCAATAGGCTCAGGAAATTAGTCTCCCTGTCATTTTATGTGCCCATATGTGTTTTGTGTTTGGATTGTTTATAGCATAGTGTTCTCTAAATTATGTTATTTCAAACCAAAAGAAACAAAATGATAAAAAATGCACATGTCCAAATTTGTACCCCTTTTTTTGTCATTTTACCTAAGAATTGTTTTCAGCAGTCCAGTCTTGGGGATGGGGAAGGCGGTATTACCAGGTGAAGAGACAGGGAGATGGCTCAGTGGAATAACCGCTTCCCTGGCAAGCGCAAGGGCCTGAGTTCAATCCTGGGTTCTGGAAAACAACAACAACAAACAAACAAACAAACAAACAAAAAAACCCGCATGAACAGCATTAAATTGCATGAAAAATAATACAAATCAAAATATGTGTTCAAAATATGCAGGTATCAGAATCCAAATTATTCAAAATATATATTGTGGGGCTTTTAATCCTGTTGAGGACTAAAATCCTTTTCAGGAGAAGTTAATTTTCTTTGTATTCTGACTTACTAAACATTTATTTATGTGTTTTGATTTTTCCTCTTAACTTTGTTATGAATTATCCTACCTAATGAGAAACAAACTAATGCCACAATCTAAGAGAGATAAACACCTTCTCAACCAAATTGTAGTCGTGTGGTCGGTGGAAGGCCAGACATAAAAGGCAAATATCTTTAGCAATGAGAAGGCATTGTCAAGGGAGGCACGCATGTACAGAAGCCAGAAGCTCCGTGCACAGCCTTACCTTGGAAGGACAAACAGCACAGTAAACTGAACGTAATGCTAGTCAATGCTGACGACAGTTTATTTCTGAATACTGATGTGTCTTTTGTATAGAAACGGAAATAATATTCTAAAGAAAACCCTCTCCTTAATTCCAGTTTGGCCAGCATTGGTTTGTTTCCTTGGTACATTTCATCAGTTCAGACAGAATACTGTTTCATAGTGTACTTGAATTAATTCTCTGTGTACCACTGGCAGATCTGTCTTCTTTCAATGCACATGACTCCCTTTCACTCTTTTCTAACATGAATCAATCTGACCTAGAAAGTGTGCTCTTGCTCTCTTTGGGGGCGAAGGATGCGAGCTGATGCAGGTGGGATGGAGTTGGAAATTCACATTATTTCGCTATGGCAAAAAATACACTGGCCCTATTGCAGAACTGCTTTCAAAATTATTTTTCTTTCATGTATAACCAAAAATTTTCTGATTTTCATTGAAGTTAAATAATCGAGATGTCTTTTCTCCAGCTACGTAACATTAACAATAATCTAAGCTCCCCATTAATGAAAGGTGGAATTTGATTTAAATAAGACCTTTGCAGTTTTCTCCATGATGAAGAGAAGTTTCAGTGGGCTGTCTAGACAGATTATGATGGTCATAGATTACAATATATTTGACAGTTCAGTGTCACTCCTAATTTGAGTGCATGAACCACTGCAGATGAATTGGTAAACAGAGAGCAATTCTTAAGTGTTTCAGTGATAAGTGTTTCTGGATGATATTAAATTGAACAAGGGGACAACATTTATGAGCATGTGTAATAATAACATTCAGTGCTCTTGAGAAATCACACATTTTAATACAACAGGGCAGGTCACTGAATCTTGGTTTATCTTCTCTGATCTAAATAAGGAGTAAAGGATGGGATCTTACTTTGCATGCTATTGTGGCTGGCATGCTTTACATTTTGAGTTTACCAAAACTGACAGCTTTCTTTCGATGGGAATGATTAACAGCATTTAAACAGGTTCATTGATTAGGGACATTGGATTTCCTGTGGCAGAGTGATAGTGAAATTTCATTCACGAAGAAATTTGACTTACAAACAAATGTTGTCAATGATAGCATTGGAAGACAGTCAGGTATGACTGAAGATGAACATTTCTTACCAAACATTTAAATATATGACATTGGTCTTTTAATCCAAACACTGTTAGTCTTGGCTTTGTGGGCTATGTGTTCAGAAAAGTACAAAAATTCAATACTAAATAGCCAAGTGGTCCCAAAGATTTTTTATGAAGTAGGATGGGGGAGTTCACACTAGATTCATGATTTCTTTTATGTGTGGTTTTTGTCCCAGCATATAGATGCTCACTGTCACCAAAACCCAAACAATGAAGAGCCTGTCAGTATTCAACTTTGTGCTATCTCTCGGGGTGGGATACGTTTCTTCTTCCAGGGAGCTGATGGAGTCAAGTTTGGAATCCAGCTTGGAGTCTGCAGAAGGAACTACGAGGCCCCCGAGTCACAGCTGAGCTTTTCCTGAAACTGCCCTATTTCTGAGTTTTGCAGAAATACTCTCTATTGCTCTCCATTTTTGAAGGGCTAATTATCCACTTTGTGTATCTATTTGCATTTTTTTTTCTCAAGAACTAGGCCTTAGGCACTGTTTTTCATTAGTATTTCACCCTGGGGATCGAAAAAGAAACAATCGGAAATCAAATACGTATTAGTCTATTATTACTTAAATATTGATTTATTGAGAATTTAAAGTCATTAAAAACTCATATTGGTGCATTACAGACCCTGGATTTTGATAATTCACCATATCCTTGTTCCTATTCTCCACAAATAATTGAAAGTTGGCTGAATTCTTGCAGAATAGAAAGGCAAATGATGTGACCAGGGATTGGGCTCCCCTCAGAAGAAACCTGTGATTTTCTTGGGTTTCACTTTACTGAAAGTTAAACCAGTTGAAAAAGTGAACACAATTTCTGTTATGAGAATATAATAGTTCTCAGTTAAGCATACATTAATTCTTTTCTTCATGTTTGATGAAAAATGCATTGTTTTTACTGTATTTTGACTTCATTACTGTACCAAGGCTGAATGACTTTGACACTCTGGTGAAAACTCTTATGATCACATTTTACATAAGTTTAAAGTGTAACATTAGTGTTATACTTTGCATTTAAATCCTCTGGTCTTAGATTTTTAAGAGAGATGGTCTGTCCTCTTCCCAAGATGTGTTATTTCATCCTACACAAAACAAAGAGTTATTTCATACCTTTCAGGAACTATAAAAGTAATTTTAAAGAGATACTTGAAAAAATTTTTCCCATTCTGCAAATAAGTGCTTCCATTTATTTAAAATTATAATTGGAATCTTAATTTTAAAAATATGTATAAAAGTTTTCATTATGAGACACTGAGGTTCTAAGAAAGATGGGACACAGCTTCTTCGAAATCCCTTATTTCAGGCCATCCTCAACTTCATGGAACTTCTGAAACATCACTCAATTTGAAACTTTAGTTATAAGCATTTTTGTATTGCTATCTCTGTCATGAAAAGTTATGTAATATGATGTTGTTTCTGGTTTTATTTTTACTTTTTTTCATCTGTACCACAGTCAAACTAGATTTCATATTTTTCCTATTTCTTGGGCTTTCTTTAGATCAGTGGATTTTAGGTTTAAATTTGTTTCCTTTGATGAAGCTTTCAATAAAAAATGAAAATAAAATCAATGAAGGAGGACTGTTGTGTTTGTCTGCACTTGTTCAGAAACTTGTCCTGGGAGCTGATGGGTGGGGGGAGTGCTCTGTGTGTTTAACTGGGTAGAGTGCTAGATCTTTTTCTAGGAAAACCCACCCCTGGTGACCAAAAAAGAGTGGTGAAAGCATTCTGCCTGGAGGGATGTGTTGAAAAAGCCAGAGCCTGCCAGCTCCTATTTTTTGTTTTAATGTAATGCACATAGATATTAGTAAAGAAAATATAAAAAGCACTCTTGTTTCTACAGAAAAATAAAACAAAATTTCATAGCAAAATAATTAGTGAATATTTTGTATACCATGTTTTAAAAAGGCAGCCACAGTGTTACTCACAACATATCCTAGGCCAAGACAAAACAAAACAAAATGAATTCTTCTTAAAAAGAAGAAGCAAAAGAATAAAGCTTTCTTCCCATGGAACACAAAAATTGTAGTAGTAGGATGAGAAAAATGAACATATATTGTAAAAATTTTTGAATCTTCAGAATAGATAATTTGGGG